TGTGGAGCTCTAGGAGATCAATACTCTGTGTAATTAGTTTTGAAAGTAGGATTCCTTTTAAGTTACATAAATGTCAGGTGAGAAAAGTATGTCATAAGAGTGCTCTCATTGCTTTGCTTTTCTGTTAGAGGCTGCATGCACTGCCTTCACTTCCCTGAGAATTAGGTGTTTGAACTTGTCTCCTGAATATGTATTCCTGCAAAGCCAGACTGCTGCAATAGACTTAAACTTTTTTTAAGACTTGTGTAGTGTTTCTTCGCAAATAGTTGTGTCAGTAGTCTCTTAAGTGACACTACAGTGTAAGCACAGATGTAGGTGTGACTCTGAATTTTTCCATAAGGAAACTTGATGGCATTGGGAATCTTGAATGGACTTACATAAGTGATTGTATGCCTTTGGGTTAGTAAGAAATAAATTAATAAGATTCTTAAAGCAGACAAAAATAAATTACTCCCCTAGTAGTGCAGACATTGTGGGAACCTGCTAGGTAAGGTTTTGGACTCAGAAACCTCAGCTGTTTAGAGACCTCTGTCTTTTAGCATCTGCTTTTTTGAAGTTACAAATTACATTTTCTGTGGTTAGATTTTAGTTTTTGACTAAAGGTAAACTTTTAGTATTCTGCAAATGTCAAAAAAGGGAAAGCAATGATCCATTTCATTACTTTTTTCCTACTTCCCTTGCAAAGGAAACTGCAGTGACTATACTAGGAGAACATTACAGGTGTGTACTTTCTAAAACGTGATCAGGGAATCATAAACGTTTGAAGTTTACACAGTTTGAATCTTGATCTCCTGTATATGTTTTGGGTTACATTAATTACTAAACATAATCTTCTTATAATAGAACACCATAAACCACATTTTCCTGTAGATATTTTCAGTCTGTAGCACAGTGGGTCAGCCAAATGAGAGCATGGTGCAGAGGTATCCGGCAAAGCAGGCTTCAAGCAAGATGTAACATAGGGAGTTGAAAGCTGATTAGTGTTTATAAACCAGTTATATTCCCAGTGGAAAGAATCACTGCTACGTGTTAGAGGGAGTGCAGTTGCAAGTAAATTGAGGTGAGTGGTTGAAAGAGGAAGGTTCTTGCAGAATGAGTCTGTGAAAGCTGCGTTGTTCTGCTGATTCAGTCTGGGTTACCACGTACTTCCAGTATCCTGTTTAGTAACACAGTTTTAGCTTAGAAATATTGTCACTAAGTAACCATGTAGTATAATGCACGTGCATGCTGTTGTACCTGCCCACGCTGCATGTTTTTAAATGGTGACATTTTCTCACCAAGTAGTTTGTCCAACTTTAATAGAGTGTTTGTATTAAAATGCTAAATAAATCAAGAGACATTTGAGAGTAAATACTGTGAAGCGGGTTTAAGGGTTATATGATATTTTAGAACTACTTATGAAACTTATCTGGAGTTTTTCATGGGTTACAGGAGTATTGGAAACTCTTCTTTCTTTGCATGCCACCAGATTCCTGAGGTGCACCGCACAGTAGTCTGGGATGTAGCAGATAGATGCTGCTGCTAAGGGGAAGGCTCACAGTTGGAAGTGTTGTGGAGCATATTCTGTATGATAAAAAGTTGTAGCCTGATACCTTAATGTTTGAAAAAGATTCATCTGGACCCTAAAGGAGTGTTTTTCTGGGTGCAAGTGGCTTATGTTGTGGAGTTGGAATCTCATCTATTTGTAGCACACATCCAGGTGTGCTGCAGACGCCAGCCTGGCTGTGCTCACCTCCTGTAGCCAGGCTGTAACCTGAATTAAGTGATGGGCAATGCTCTGTGGGCTGGAGAGCAGACCAAGATACTGCAGCTGAGATCCAGGTCTGCTCAGTTCACCTACACCTCAATTTTTCTAGTTTAGCTTTTTTGAGAATTTCAGACGCACCTTCAGCAAGCGTTTCTTCCTCATCAGGGTTTCTCCTTCACAAACTGGGGCAACCAAACCCTTCCAAATTCAGGAACTGATTTTGTTTTGCTTTTTTTTCTGCAAATCTAATGTAAGTAGGCAAGGAAACAAAACCCTTCCTTTCTTCTTCTCTTGCAGTCTCCTCAGAAGAAACAGTGTAATACTCATCTGGGTAGCTCCTGTCTCCTCGTTGTAGATGGCTGCCTGGTTTTCCTGGTTTCTTCCTTTCTTTATCAGACATACTAATGCAAAACCTGCAAGAGCTTGTTTTTTGGGGGGTAGTATTCAGGTGTATTGTGCTTACTGTTTTGAAGATTTCTTCATCTTCCTTTATTATTTTTCTCCTTAGTAATCATAAGCAGGGTTTCCTCTGTTTGAAAGAAATAAAAATTTAGAAAGGTAGAAAGGTAGCATTATGCTCTTCGCTGGCAAATAGTACATCATCACAATTCAGGCAGAGATCCCATTTTCTTTTTACCACCCACACATCCAAGACTGGGGATAACTGGATGCCAGCTCCTTACAAAGATCTGAGATCATTTTATTGTGGGGAGAGGGGAGAACAGAAACTCGTAAAATCTGCATATGGGGAGATCCTGTGCTCAGATGTTCTGGTATTTGTCATTTTCCTCAGAGGCAGAGAAGCTTTTTTTACTGCTAAGATGAAGACAACTTTTCTTCACGAATTTAGGTGAAGTTATAAATGGAAATAACTGGATTTTCATTTTTACTTTTTCAAACTTCAAAATGAAGGTAGATTGTAAAGTTTGTTAGCAGAGATAATTAGACTTTAAGAACTTGGCAAAAGTTGTACTGAATCTCTGGGTTTAAATTAAGATGGGATTTATTTTGAAAGATTCTCTCTAGCCTAGTGGTATGTTGCTGTGGGAGTCAGTACACGGAAAAATCTAAAAGCAGTGTCAAGCAGGTGGCAAGAATAGATTATTGAAAGGTGATTTTTGACCTTTAAGTCTCATTAAATGAAATAATTTGGATTATCAGGTTGTAAAGTACCTGAGCCAGAGCAAGATGATTCCAGAAACGATAGAGAATTCTTGTTCTCATTTATGCAATTCAGTATTTCCTTCTCTTCTTGAGAATGCCATAACATAGTTTAGTAGTTGTTTATAAAATCTTGAGAGTATTTGGTGGGACTCCTTTCAGAGGAAGGTGCCTGCATATATGCTATCAGTAGATATGAAAGAATTGGCATTTTATTAAGATGAGACTGTGGCAGCAGCTGACATTATCATTAGGCTGAATTTGTTGTAACAATAAATGTAGGCCTCCTCGGCTCATCTTGTTTTTACTCTGGCTAGTCTGAGATCAGTAGTAGCAGCATGAAATCTCAGTGTATCTGCAAGGTAAGCCCTCACAGAAGCCCTTCTGGCAGCTTGCATAGTCCTCTGCCGCGATGCGGGTGACTTGGGTGGTGCGTTGCCTGTTGCGCATGTGAGCAGAAATCCTCTCTCCGCTTAGAGGCAGTGCATTCAAACTGTCTTACAGCTTCCCTTGGCTTTGCAAGTACAGTTTTCCTGGGTAATGATTTCCAGGAGCTGCAATGTCCACAAATGGCTGAAGAAATGGAGAACTTAATCCTTCAGAAATTTTTTGAGTAGTGTCAACTTAATTTCTTCTCTAGCTTTATGTTTGTGTGTAATTTAGGTGAATGTAGTTGAGACAAAAAGACTTCGTCTCAGAAATATCACCCAAATTAAAAAGGAAATATAAAAAAACCCTTTTTTTAAAATCACAGATTTTTAACTAGAAGTCCCAAAAAACAATTTACGTCTTACCAAAAAATAATTTGAGTGACGAAAGCAATGATCAGCCTCAAAGGGGGTCACTGTAGCCCTGTTAAGTGCTTTCAACAGAACTCCTAATTGCTCCCTTTTATTTGTATCGTTCTCGTTTCAGCCGGGTAGATAAATATTAGATGCCATCCTGCTTTCCCCAGTTGTCTTTTTTCTCAATAGCAGGCGTTCTTCCCTATTTAAAGACTCTGTTCCTAAGGAAATAAATGTAATTACACTGCTGAGATGTTCAAATTGCTCTTCAAGTTATCATTATTTTTCAGAAAATGCATTGCCTTTCTTGTTCTTGTCATCCACTATTGAAAGCAACATGGCTGTTGCCATGCCACTGTTGCCAAGTGGTTGTAATGATGCACATAAATCTGGAAGTATTAACACTTTCAAAATCAATTAACAGTCCATCAGACCAGGACTGTTTGTACACTATGGCCAGGAAATTCCTGTGCCAGCTATCAAGACATCTGGTTACTCTCTGTAGAGCTGGCTCTCTGGCCCTGTCCACTACGGTGTTTTTTGCTAGAAGAATCTTGGCTTGGAAATAGCAAACAAGGTTTGAAGGAAGGTAGAGGAAAATATGCTGAGTCTCTTCTCTGAAGAGCTAAAGTTCATCCATTGAAGAAATGGAATTAATTTGGTTCTGAATAGGTTATTTATGCTCTGGAATACATGTCATTATGGGCTGCAGTTGTTCCTATCTCTCTATTCTGGGAATATCACCTACCATGATTTGTGTAAACTTACAACCAAGAAGCTACCGCACAGCTTTTAAGTTTTGCCTCTAATCAGCTGTGCAGATCAGGAAATCCCTCTTCAGATTTTTGAGTTAACATAGTTCTTCATCTTTTCTTTAGGGAAGTCAAGAGGTTAGGAAATGTGGAAGGAAATTTTCTAACCATTCTGACTTTCGTTAACAGTTTTCAAACCTGAGGAGCTGCGCCAGGCTCTCATGCCTACCCTTGAAGCTTTGTACCGACAGGACCCAGAGTCTCTACCTTTTAGACAGCCCGTGGATCCTCAGCTTTTAGGGATTCCGGTGAGTTGACGTTAAAAAACATATGAAATGGTTTTGTGTTTTGTCTTTGCTCTTATAAGCGCTTTGTCTTTTCTGTTCAACATACTGTGAACAGTTGACATCTTAAAAATGAAGTGGTTTATTTGTGTTTGAAGGACTACTTTGACATTGTGAAGAATCCTATGGATCTTTCCACCATTAAGCGTAAATTGGATACTGGGCAGTACCAAGAGCCCTGGCAGTATGTGGATGACGTTTGGCTAATGTTTAACAACGCCTGGCTTTACAATCGCAAGACTTCCAGGGTCTATAAGTTTTGCACTAAACTCGCGGAGGTGTTTGAACAAGAAATTGATCCTGTTATGCAGTCGCTTGGCTACTGTTGTGGGCGCAAGGTATGTATTCCAGGATAGAGCTGTGTTCTTCCAGAGAGCTTAGCTCAGTTAATCAGATAAAACATAGGTTTTGTGTACTCTTTTTTTAAAAAATGGAAATACTGATTGAAAGGGTCACTAAAAGTTTGGCTTTGTTATAAGCACGCTAAGAGCTAAAAAAGGTAGGTAGCATCCTTCTTGTTGCTATTCCATTATTATTGTTGTATTTTTCTCCCTCAGAGAATGCCTGTTTTGGTCATAAGCAGTATTAAAATACTTCGCTTGTTTTTCATATCTGTTGCTGTAAAGTAGGCAGTTAGAGGGTCAGCTACTTAGCCTATGTAGTTAATATTTTGTAATTAAATTAGGAGTGCTGTGGTAATGTATTTACGATAGATTGGGAAAGTGTGATAAACACAGGAGTGCATTATGATATCTGTAAGGGTCAGGTTTGCTTAATAGATACTTGATTAACATAAGATTACATTTTAAATCTTCTTTTTTCACTGCTGTTTTGCAGTATGAGTTTTCTCCACAGACCTTGTGTTGCTACGGCAAGCAGTTGTGTACTATTCCTCGTGATGCTGCCTACTACAGTTACCAGAATAGGTAAGTCCCCAACTTTGGTTGTTTTGGGTTATTTTTCCTTATTCAGGAAGCGAGATCCTTTGTTTCCTCTGCACATGCAGAGGAAGAGGATTATTAACTTTTTCTTTCATTTCTCCGCTAAGTCAGGAGAAAGTTATTTTTATATCTTTGCATGCTGTCCTTTAGCAGGTGACCCTTTAGTTTCTCATACTGCAGCTTGATACACACTGTACTTAAGTGCTTGCTGTTAGCTGGACTGCACCACGCACCACTTAAGTGGAGGTATAGTCATCCGTGTTTTCCACAAAATAAATGGCAAGGCTTGCTGGAGGGTGAAGGGCTGTACTGTAGAAAGGCACTGAGAAACCATGCCTTGTTCTGGGACAGTTGTAAACATATGCAGGTTCTTTCTCAAATTAATGCCAGAGTTTGCAAAGTAAAGGGTACAGTGACTGATTGCAAAACTTACTTTCTCTCTTGCTCATTAGTACTTAATTATACTTAAATTAGCTTTGAATTAGCATGGAAAACGACCCAGCTTCCATGAGAAGCTGTGATTTTTTTAAATCAATATTAGGAATTTATGTTTGAATGATTATTAAACAGTTGTTATAGTACTAATTTTAATGCTTGAATCAGTAGTTCTCTAATAACAGTGCAAACTTAAAATCTGGCTTTGTTTTTGTTTTCTTAGATTCCTCCCACCCCCCAAAAACACGAATTATAAAACATAAATGGGCTAAGACACAAACTTCCTTTTCCCTGTGTAGAAGAAAGCTATTAATTGCTTTCCAGAGGCTTGGCAGTCTGTAAGTCTTGCCAGCACTGAAGCGCACAGCGGGCTGTTACCTCCCTGAAGTTGTGGAGTAAATTCAAGCAGTCGGTGCTTGCATTCAGTCTCTGAGGGCGATCCCTACGTCACCAGACATGCTGTAAGGCGGTGCAAGGCTGCTGTGTACCACCGAGCTGCAGCAGCAAAGGGCGGGAGATGAAAGCGTGTCGCCTTGCCCTGTGTGTTGGGTCTTAGATGGCCTTTGGGAGACCATTCCTTTACAGAGGAATGTAAATTCATGAGCTCTCATAAAAGGTTTTGCACAGCCACTGTGAACTCCGAAAAAAGTCAGTCCAAAAAGAAATAAAGCAATTAAAATGTATTTAAAGAGAGAGCGCTTCAGTACTGGAAGTGGAGAAAAATAACCCTTAAATACCAACTCTTTGTGGTAGAGTTTCAAATAGTTTTCATGTTATGTATCCAGATTGTACTGTAATTGAAGAAGGGGTAATTTTTCTTTCAGTTATAATTTTCCTGTTTAAGTTAGTATTCAATAATTTGGATTATTCTGTGAAAGGCAGTGTTGGTTGCTAGTGAGAAGTGCAGGATTGATGGGGCAGTGGGTTCTTCTGGACTCAGGGATGCAATATTTCAGTTTCCTACCTGCCAGAAATGTGATAGTCCATTTACACTGAGTTTAGTCTAAAAGAGCAGTCATGAAAGGGAGGTGATTTGTCTACATGTCAGTAGGCCAGCAGCAGAACAGCAGTAGGTGTAGATTTCTGTTCATCAGGATGTCCTGAGAAAGTGTTGGGATTTTTGGGATTTGGGGTGATTTTGAGCTAGAGATGCAGTTTGAGGTTCTCTGTTTCAACTAAATGAAGCAATGAGTAGGTTTTTGGGTTGGATTTCTAAAAAAAATATTTTCTAAAGATCAGTTACTATATTTTAAAGTGTGCATTTGGACTGTCAGATCGTAAGAAGCCCTTATTCATCAGCTGTAGTGCTCTGAAACAGTTTTGACTGTTTCTTGTGACAGGGATCTTCAAGTCTTAGATTTTTCTTAACTGAGTAGGAAACGAGTTAAAAACAAATTCTGCGGTTCCAGCAGATCTTTAGTTGGTCAGATGTGCTTGACTTTATCCATTTAAGGAACAGACAAAATTGGATGTATTTGAAGTCCACCATATTGCATAACTAAATTACAACTGAGAATATTTAGGCACCATTGAATAAATGAACTCTGACACTGCAGTTCAGTGATTAAAAGTTAATTATTTCTTATTGAACTGTTTGGCTTCCATAATAAGGCAGAAATTGAAGATAAAGTAAGTGTTCAGAAAATATACTTTGTGTGAATATTCAACTGAGAAAACAGTTTGATATTTCATATTAGTGCTAGCATCCAATTACTAATTTAGAATTTCCCTTGAATGCACGTAATTACAGTTGGAAATTCACCTGTTAATGCAGAGATTGATCTTTTTCTGGACTTTGGTACTGAACCATAAGGTTATGCTTTGGTAAACAGGAATCAGTCATCTGAACAGTCTGCATTTGAAAAGCTTTTAATTTTTGATGTGTTGCGATAAGTACATTCTTTGGATTTTCTATGACTCTTGTAACTAGGATATGGCGTGTTTTCTGTGGGTTTTGTTGAATATTTGTAGCAACATGCAAAAGTCAATGAATTACAAGCAAGTTTCCATTTCTGAGGGTCCATATTCATAATAAGTTACAGCTATTCCTTCTCCCTGGTTATTTTATGGACAAATGTTCATGATCTTTAGATGATTCATTTTTCACTGTATTTCAATTTTTATTTCCCCATTTTAATATCATGGATGAAGGCTTGACTCTTGCTAGCGCTGGGCTTTGGTTCTGCAGCACGTGCTCAGCGCGCTGCCGAACCGAAGGGTGAAATACCTGTGCTGGTGGAGCCAGTTAGATTTCTGCGGTGTAACTTAAATCCAATATTGAAGGCAGCCTCGTTGCTCAGTTTCGTGAGTGTTGTGAAAGGCTATAAATTATTCTGAAAATGGATCAACATTAACCTTTTCTGGGATTTTTTACATGTAGCAAAGGAGCCTTGACCATGGATTTTCTGGCTACACACTCCTGTGCTTAGGTTCTCCTGTGTTTGAGCCCTTCCCAATCTAATTCTTAAAATGAGCAATCTTGTTAGTAAGTCATTAGTGTTAGTAATTAGTGGGTGTTTTTAATTGAAAAAAAAAATTAAGCACATTGTAGAAAAAAGAGGACATGGACAATGTGCAAAAGGATATAAAATTCTGAGCCGGCTATATTTGGGTTTAAAAAAAAATAAATTCTACTGTATCAATTTAGGGGCAAGTGAAGTCAGTGTAAATGGGATGTGCAGTGTCAGTATCCACTCCTGAAATTCTCTATTTCTCTAATAACCATAACACATATAACATTCCCAATGATTACAAATCAGTGGAATACAATTTTTTGCTGTTCTGTTACACTATCAGATCTAAAAGCCTTGGTTTTCCTTGGGAGGGTGATGTGTTTAATCCTAGTTGAGCTGACCCCGGAGAAGTCACTCGCAGTTTCACTTGTGGTAGGCTGGCAAGCAGCCCTCTGGGCAGGGAGGCATTTTAGCTCATGTGGTGGCTATCAAAGCTGCAGCTGTCCTGCTGGTAAGATACTCTGTGGATATGTCAGTATGGGCTATATTAACTAGAATAAAATGCACCTTTTTCCTCCTGTGTCAGCCCCACAGTAGAGGGAGTACTCAGTGTGCTGCTGCATTGAAGTGATTCTTGGCTAGCGGAGTGGCTCTTGAAGCCTGAGCCAGCTGGCAGAGTTTGCAGAAGTTTTTAGGCTCTGGTAAATTATGCTCTGGTAACGTGGACCTGGCTGCAGCCTGGGGGAAGACGCAGATTGCTCTGCAGAACGGCTTTCCCCGATTCATCGGGCGCTGCTGAAGGACCCGCTCCCGCTTGCTTGCGCTGTGTTTAGAAAACACGTAGTGGAAACGTGATGGGCAGCGTGTGTCGCAGGGGGGACTTCTGATCCATTCGTTTTGATAAGTGCCTATAAATGGCTTTTGTTGTCTCCAGGAAAGCACAGCCTTGGAGATCTGTCACCTGGATTACAGTAGTTTAAGTGTACGAGTATGTGTTTGAAGGGGCAAGCTGCCATATTGATTAATCTCCATCCCTTAAGTTGTTGGTTCATTGTGACATTGAGTCTCATTTGATGCCTTTTATACTTACCATTCTTACGGTTCTAGCGTTTTGAGTACTAAAACTGCGTTTTACTGTGCTGCCATTGCTGCTTATACTCTCTCACTCTTGATCCTCCATAAAGCTCCTTTATTTTGATGATCCTTTGTGGCCTTCCTGCATTTTACAGCTGTGGCCTCTCATTGTTACCTTTGTTCGTGTGTGAATTCATATCCTTTCCAAACATTTAGCCTCCTTTGTTGTGTTTTGGGTTTTTTTTTTGTTTTTTAATTACCCTCACAACTTTGGTTCCAGTTCATCTGAAACAAACAAAAAAAAACGACCAAAACCCCCCCAAAAATGTGTGTAGCTTAGATTTTTATTTTTTTTTCAAATGCAGATTGTATGTTTGTAGAGTGGTATTGCAATTTACTCAGCTTGGTTTGTTAAACTGCAGTATTGATTTTGCTGAGTATAACTTGGATTGGCTCTTGGTCTGGTGACCAAAAATTGTACCTAGCCTCATATTCAATTTGTAAAGCTTAATTCCACCTCTTTAATGTACCTGATAAATATATTGTATGTATGTACAATATTTAATGTTGTTCACATATATACATATATTGTACTTGTATAGATAAATGGCTGGAAACTCTGACCCATAATTGCATTTCTGTTAAATGTTTGTCTAGAGTATGGATTTGGTTTCATTTATATTAAGTAATATTAGCTGAGCAATTGGTCACATTTAATCTTATCGTCAAATCACTTCTGAATTTAATATTTTTATAGACTTTTTTCAATACCAAGTGTTTCTGCTGGTATAGTTTTTACTGAAAATCAGTAAATGCTTTCAGCATATTTTCTAATTCCTTAAATCTGTAATAAATGTGTTCGTAAAGCTTTTTGTCAGACTTTTTTCTCTTAACCAAAGGAATCTCAATCAGTCACAAGCCTGGCATCAAAGAGCATTTTTTCCTAACTAATGCAAATCAAATCCAAATTCTTAAATTTGAAGTCTATGCAGACGTAGCGCTTGGTAGCTACTTTAATCCTCCCCAAATTTTGAATTTGACACCCAACGACTTGTTAGTAATGTATAAAATGAGACCGAATGCTAATCTGTGCTTTGCCTTGGCTTTCTGCTCTGTGTTGTCTTGGTGTTTGCGTCTTACCTCTTACGTCTGTGCTGTTTGTTCCCTCCCCTGTTCTCTAATCCTGCCCTCCCCTCCCTCTGTTCCTCCTCATTGTCCACACTGACCCATCAATCAACCAACAACGCCCCCCCTTTCGTCGTGGTGATCTGCCCTGCTCTGGTTGGTGGCTCCGTGCTTGGGTGGCTGTGTGTTGTGCTGGACCAGTTCACCCAAATATGGCCTTCTTGCTGACAGGTATCACTTCTGTGAGAAGTGTTTCACTGAAATCCAGGGGGAGAATGTCACCCTGGGTGATGACCCTTCCCAGCCTCAAACGTAAGTAAAACCCTTCTGTTCTTCTGCATGCCGCCTTTTTGAATAGCAGGGGTGATGTGTAGTCTCACTTTGATAGTAAAATTCTGTGGCCGGTGGTGGTTGTGGGAAATGCCTGCTTCCTTACTAATAGGAGGTTTTTACGGGAACGGATGATTAACAGTTGTTACTGTGTTGGGTCTGTCAGTCTGCCCAAGTGTCACCTGTGTCCGATTGTGCTGCTCTAGAGCTGCCCATAGACTGGTTGCAGGGGGTGGCAGACACCAGATGATGTGGTTGCAGGGGAGGGAGTGGAAGCTGTGTCAATAAATGTCACTAATCCATTATCTTTTCAAACGAAAGACTCCTGCTAATCCTGATGTCTCACCTTTTGAAGCTCAGCTTTTGTTTATGAAACCAATGGCTTGTCTTTAACCTGACCAGAAAATAAGATGCTCTAAGAGTTGAGGAATACAAGCTGTTTTGGAAGGTGGCTGCTTTACTGACGATAGCTTCCCTTCTTCTTATGGCTTAAAATTTGTTTATGCTTGGGTATCTCTTATTTTGCTTTTAATTTTTACAGACAGTGAGATGGGAAAATATTTTCTGTAGCTTAAAATAAAATGAACTGATTTGTTTTCTGTGGATAGAATAAACACCTATATGCTTTCTTCTGTCTTGAGGTTTGCTCATTTGCTGCAATTCAGAAAAGCATGGTATTGCCTTGGTCTCTGATACAAAGGTAGTACTGAGTTTTCATATTAACTCTTTGTCTCTAGAACCATCTCAAAGGATCAGTTTGAAAAGAAGAAAAATGATACACTAGATCCAGAGCCGTAAGTACCAGGCTGTTGTTTTTCTTAAGATAATTTCATCACTTTCACTTGTCCTTTAGCCAGCACTTCACAAATGAGACAGTGAATAAAGAAATCTTCCGTTCCACCCATCTCTTGCCAAACAGGCTGCAGAATCTTTAGTTTGTAGCACAACATACAAACTTGGTGTCTACCATTGATATCCAAGAGAAAAGTGTGAGCCTGCGTTAATGGCAGTTTCTAGTACTGTTTATTTGGGTGATTCTTAAGGTGTGTTCTGCAAAGCACTGCACAGCTGCCTGAAAATAGCCCGCTGTCACACAGAGCCCTTCATACCAAGCCCGGAGTACTTGTGGGGGAGTTCTGCATTTTCCTCCTCTGGTTTAGCTGGACTTTTAAAACACGTTTTTCTCCTCACCTGAGTGCTTAGCCCACCAGAAGAGCCATCCTCCTTCCTTGCATTTGTTACCCTCAGGAAGTTCAGTGAAAGCCAAGTTGGACATTTCTTTAGTAGCACTGTGCTGCTTTCCCTGCTGTCCTTAACTAACTGAGGCAAGACTTTCTCTTACTGCTGCTTTGTTCTCTGGCGGTTTGATACATAATACATTTTGATTCCTTTTTTCATCTTTGCAATTACTGAATAGAGCTCATCCCCCAGACCTTTAAAGGTAGACTGCTGAGATGTACCCCAGTGCTTTTGACTTCATAACCAGTGTCGCATTCTTGACTGTTAGAAGTTTTCCCATATGAAAAAACAATGTTGACGTATTATTTTGACCAAAAAGATAAATACTACAGCAAAAAAAGAAAAATACTACAGCAGACCCATGCAGGTGAAGACAAACTAATACATGTTTTCTTGGCACGGTGATTCACGAATGACTAGTTTTTACATTTACAGTAAGTTGAGCAACCATTTAGTCAGCTTGTGGTTGTTGCAACAATTGAAAATTAAATCTGTAGAGGTACAGTTGAGCAGAATTCTTTGATGCTGGGAAAACTCAGAACTCTGCTTAGAAAAAGATAAAGATCCAGATAAAGTTGTGCTTGAAAGCCCATTTCACATTTTTAAACTAGGACATTTTACAATTTTTTTATATATCTTATTTGCACATTATGCTGATAGATGTATATCTGAATCAATTCTAATGAGGATTTTTTTACTGACAAACCTGCTGAAGTTGATACGGTTCTTAGCAGAGGGTTGGAAAGTCCTTCTTTCTTGCTGAATTCTGGAGAATTACTTGCCTGACAACAAAAGTGATTGCTGTGTTTTTTATTCTTACCAGGTTTGTTGACTGCAAAGAGTGTGGTCGGAAGATGCACCAGATTTGTGTATTACATTATGATATTATTTGGCCTTCAGGGTAAGATGTTCCTTAGTTTTTTAGCCCCTGTATGTAATGTCAATGTAGTTTATACAGTTAAGACTTTGACTTTGTTCTTCAGTATGCAGTCACTGCCTTTTAAGATGTAAGTACAAAAGTACAAAGCCTTTCTAAATAAAATACATTTTTTGGTGTTTAGGGTCTCGTTTCAGTATATTCAGAGGAGAATGCGTGAAACCAACTTGTTCATACACTCAGATTTCTGTGGTTTCTTTTTAACTGCCAAACAGTGGGAGCTGGTTGGAGTTGAGTCTGCATACTACAGAACACAAATGCAGATGTAACTGCTTGGCAGAATTACACCAACTCATAAAGGCTTTAAATCCCTCAAAAATGGAGAGATACAAGCTGTTCAAATACAGAGAAAAATATACTGTACTCTGACATTTAAATTATGGGTTCAAACACTGCACTTAAGTTGGCCAATGATGGGTTTATTCTAAGTTTTTGGCATTTTTTTTTCTCAATAGGTTTGTCTGTGATAATTGTCTGAAGAAAACTGGTAGAACACGCAAAGAAAACAAATTCAGTGCTAAAAGTGAGTTTGATATTTCTGGTTTTGTCTTCAACTTTCAAGTTCTCCATGCCACCCCTAATAGCTTTTTGATTGTGACTTTCTGTTGTCCTGATAGACAGTACAGGGACATTTGCAAAACAGGGAGTAGCGTAACCCAGGGCTCCAGTAGCTGTCAGAATTTTAATCAGCATTTTGAAGACCTGCTCATTGTGTTTGTGGTCAGTCTTAGTGCTGCTTGAGGTTTTGGCATCTATGTCCTTATTTTTCTAAGATTCAAAATTTAAAAAAGGAGGCGGAAACGAAACAGGAGAAATGTAAGGCTGCATGCACTTCTCTGGCTGTATTTAGGTATGTTTCCGTGTAGCATTGCAACTGAAACTGTAGTAAATTACTGTCACCTCTGTACCCTTCAAGTAACATGCAGTAACAAGTTCTGCATTTCAGGTGTACTGTGGTAGTGCCAACTACTAATGTATTTGAAGAGCTTTTCTTGCTTCTAGAGCAGACTGTGCTATAACTGTCCGCTCAAATAAGTGACCGATTGTCCTACATGTCTAGAATTTCTTGGAAGTAGCCACAGTCATAGTCTTGCTGAAATGTGCACTAAGGAGAGTGCCAAAAGCTGCCAGGTCAGCTTGTGTCAGTCTCTTTAGTAATCCTTACACAGGTGTTCTTCTGTATACATTTAAGATCAGAGAATATAATTTGTTAACTTACTCATACACATTTGAGCAGAAAGAGTAGGGGCTAGAGCATCAGTGGCGTGAAGCAGAAAAACAAAGTGAGTGTAGGGACCAGGAGGGTGATCCAGACACTTGAACAACTGGAACTTGCAGGTACACTTGGTTCCTTTCTTGTTCTTCAGTCCTTGGAAGTTCTGGGCGTGACCGTGTCATACTGTGACTTTGCAAGCCAGTAATAAAAGAGTGGTTTTGCACTAAATGTGACTTCTTGATAACTTTGTGTGTGGTTGATTGCATAAAAATAGATTTGAAGGAGGATAATTTGGAGATGCTAATGCTGCATGAGACTTACTAGATTACAATAATCGAAATGGTCCATGGAGTAACCTGGTGCATGCAAGATAGTATTGTTAAAGATATGAAAATTATTCTCATTAAAGACAGATTAAGACTGTAAGAGAACATTAATAAAATTATGAAAGAAAAATGTCATTTTAGGTAGCCATTTTAAATAGCTGTTTCTTCTATTATATGCTGACTTTACAGCATATATTGGTGTAAATTAGCTTAAATAAGCTTGTGATTCCTGGGATGTCTGCAGTTGTTCTGTGACGTTGCTTAAAGTTTGAGTAACCTGACATTTAGTTTGAGGTAACCATTCTGTTCTCTGGCGATCTGGACAGGGAAATAATGGTGCTTTTTACCTTTCCATTGATCAACTTTTCCTTCTCCTTTCCTTGCTGTTTGGCTCTCTTGTTTTCTTTTTCCCGTGATGATTTGAGTCCTGCAGACGGCTGTAATCCACTGGTGGGCTCAGCCCTTGAGATCAGTTTTCTTTAATGATACTCTACTGGAAACACCAGACCAGGGAAGGAAAGCCTGCTCTTGTTGTCAAGCCGTTGGTCTTCCTACTGACCTAAAACTAAACATTAGTAACGAAAGTTTGAAACATTAACATCTTTCCCGTCCTCTCCCCCTCCCTCCCCATAAAACCCTTTACTTACTCAACTGCCATCGATATTTCTATGCTCTCTCAAGCATGCTGTCACAACTGATGATAATCAAGATAGCACGTCTCTCTGCTGCAAGCTATTGCTCAGCTGTTATGGTAACATTCGTATTCCTAAAGCATATTAACTAAAATAGGTTATCTTAACCACATCGTAAGATGCATAAAGCTGACTGATCGCATGCTAAATATAACCTAGAAACCAATGTACAGCTGGATTATGCTGTGGAATTCCTAACTTTTGAAATATTTTTCTTACTAAGAACTTATACAAATATTACTTAACCAGCAGCTAATGCTTTTGTCCAAAGACAAAAGATAGCCTGACAAAGAAGACACTCGAAGTAGTTTCCTGACGAAAAGTCACAGTAAGCCACGAGTCTGACTTTCTTTCCTACCTGTCTGATGACTCGTCCAGTAACAAGTGTCTGGCCATTACTACAGCAATGTAACTTCTGTACTCAAGAAGTCTGAAAGCCATCTGTGTTGTTATCAGTTTGGATGCCTTTTTTCAAGTTTGCACTGCAGTTTTCAGTGAGACCTGAGCTTTTATTGGAAGCATGTATGTTAAAGGTGTCCAAGAACCAAAATCCAGTTGCTTTCTAAAAGAATTTTCACATTCTAATATATCAAAATACACAGCTGTTAGAGCCTTTCTTTTCAGTGCATGTAATCTTAATGCTGCTTATTTCTTTTATCTTCTTATCTAGTCTTCTTTTTGTTTGTTTTTCAAGTCTTAATGCATTGTAGCATGAGGAAGGAAGCAGATACCCTTTGGTTGCTTAGCATTGGAAAGATGATAAAATGAAAACACAGCAAGACAGTGGAGTTAACTAAAACGGCTTTCTAAAAATGTCCCAACTCATCAGCTGAGATGAAGCCGCTTCTTTATTTTCCTGTTTGTCTATGGAGAAATCAACAGAACTGAACAATTGCTTCAGAAAATATTTGGGAATTTCCTTTAAATTCAGCCCCCTTCTATTATACGTGGAAAGCCTAATATAATGTCTTGGGCTGGGAAACACTGGGAAAGGCCAGTGGATTGAAATCTGTACAGCGCAATTATTTCTGTGGTTGTAACCACAGAATCTCACTGGACAAGGGGACAGACTAAAAGATACAAAAAAAAGATGGCCACTTTTGGCAATTTCTATAAGCTGATTGTAAAATAAATCTCAAAGTATTTAAATCCCTTAGAAAGCAAGATCTTCTTTTGAGTGTATGTGGTGCTTTTCCCCAGTATTGGAGCCTAAAGTAATTTTTAGCATAGATATTTCACTGCAGCATTCTGTATGCAGTCTCAGTAGTCAGGAAGAAGAACCAGCAGCTTTGTGGCAATAGCAAAATAACAACTGAAAAAATGAAGCAGTGGAGATCTGAAAATTAAATGCATTTTAGTAAAATGAACAGCTGTAGATGCACTATCACTTGGGAAAAGATAGCAGATTGACCATAAAAATTAAGTAGAATACTAGATGGTAAAATAAGTAAAGCAGCATAAGAGAAATGGTTATAAATCTTCAAGTCAAAACAGTGAGCTACTGCTGTTTTCTTAATATAAACCAAAATCTTCATCTTAATTTCTGCAATTTGTTGCGGATTTATTTGAAAACCACCACATCCTGTAATAGTACAAAACCGGCTATCTCCACGAAAGCTAATTGTAAATGTAAAGACAGAGACGGGGCATCTGGGCAGTGTGTGGACTTGAACTTTTAAAGACCTCTATCGCTTTGCAAGAACTATTTAAGCTTTATGTGCAGATTACTGTAACTGTTCAATCTAAAAGCTCTCTTGAAAAGAAGAAGCAATGAAATCTCCATTGAAGTCAAAAGGCTTTTCATTTCTGTTGATTTGCTTTGCTTTGCTTGCAAAGGTGTGGCATTGAGCCAGATCTATAAAGTGATGTAATCTCTGTCAAAGAGCCAGATAGTGCTTTTGTTGGGAGAAAACATTTGCAGTGTTCATAAAATAACCCTGCAAATTTAAAAATGCCATGTAAAGCCGCCTTTGTTAGTTCACTTACTAAGTAATTTTCCCGCTGTAGTAGTTTTAGCTTTCGCATTAGGGTTTGAGCACTTAAGGTTTGGTTAGAAACATGGGTTGCTTTGGTTTTTTAATTTTGGCTGTATAAATAAAACCATCACATTTTCATACGGAGGTAAAACAAAGGGAAAGAAGCTTACTCCTATGCAGAGAAGCAAGCTGAAAGACTGCAAGCGTGATAACACTCTGAACTTAACAGTTATTTCTCCAGTATTAACACTTTCGTTGTTATGTTCTCCCCCTTTATTTTTAGGGCTACAGACTACGCGTTTAGGAAACCATTTGGAAGATAGAGTAAATAAATTTTTGCGGCGACAGAATCATCCTGAAGCTGGAGAGGTCTTTGTCAGAGTAGTAGCAAGTTCAGATAAGACAGTAGAAGTTAAACCGGGAATGAAATCCAGGTTTGTTCTATTAATTACAATAAATGCAGTCTGGAAATGTTTTAATTTTGAAATCTCCCTGCATAAATATTACAAAACTATGCACCTTATGCACCTTTGCACATTTTTTTAAACTTGGGCATGAGTAAAGTAATGAAAGAAAGAAAAGCAGTATGTAGGAAAAACTTGGAGGAGATTCAGAATACAGTTGTATTTTGTCTGGGGGGGGGGTAGTGGGGATATCCTGCTTTGGATGATAACAGTATGACTTTGTATTACTAAATCTTGAGAGAAAGTCTGATTGCATTCTGGTTGGCATTACAGGATTCATAGTTTACTTTGGAACAGTTGATGAGATTCTGTTCCTTACTGTTCCTTCATTTTGTTGTGTTTTATAAATACTTCAGCTTTCGGAAGTTGTTTTTAATTTGTTTCATCATAAATGAAAAGCTTAAAAGGTTTGTTCTGTGAAGTATTTTGGGTCTAATTCATAAAGCCAGTGTTTATGTGACATCATTTCATCATAATGCATCAGGTTTTCTACCACGCAGTGTATTTAAAGGCTTGTGGTTTCTGGGGATGCCCTTGTACTCAATGCCTGCCTGTTCAGTCATATGTTAACTGTATGGAAACTACCTTTCCGTGAGTTTTGTAGTAACAGACCTTGCATTGACAGAACTCCCTGTTTTAATACAGCTCTTATCTAACCCAGTTGAACTTCTACATAAGTGTTTCTAATTAGTTACAAGTAAGGTTTAAAATTATTTCCTCATTCTGGTAGGACACTGGTTTAATAATTTGCTTTTTGTTGTTTGTTGTTTTTTCCCCTGTTCCTTTCTGCCACCCTTTCCTTCAGATTTGTGGATTCTGGTGAGATGTCAGAATCTTTCCCTTACCGTACCAAAGCTCTGTTTGCGTTTGAGGAGATAGACGGAGTAGATGTGTGCTTCTTCGGCATGCACGTACAGGAGTATGGCTCGGATTGTCCCCCGCCAAATACAAGGTACTCTTCCATTTCTATACCGGTGGTGCATGCACAGAGAGCATCTTGCTACGTTCCCTGGACAATTACTCTCAAATACAGAGGACTGGGAGATCTGTTTCAGTTCTGTAGCACAAATAAGTCCCTTGACTGCAGATTACTTTGAAGGGGAAAACCAGTATCACAAGAAAAATGTTACACTTTTGTATGCTATATTTAATTTTGCTTCTCAATCTATGTTCTTGCTGTCTACAAAAAATTGTACCTGTCTTTTGCTTTTGAGAACTGTTTATACCATGTTAAGATTCTTAAATATGCATTAAAATAATGCCATAGTTAATATGTCTTTGTTCAGTATGGCTGTATATGTATCTAGTATAAAAGTCAGCTCTCAATAGACAAAACAGACGTTCGGCTCTATATGATTTTCTGCCATTCTTCTCTCGTTACTATAGGCGTGTGTACATATCGTATCTAGATAGTATTCATTTCTTCCGCCCCCGTTGTCTCCGAACTGCAGTTTATCATGAAATCCTCATTGGATATCTGGAGTACGTGAAGAAACTTGGGTAAGCAAGATATTTGTAAAGAAGTTATTATAATTAGTAGTATTAGTATTTAGTATTAGTATTATTTAATAGCATTTTATTTATCCAGGATGCCAGGTAGCTGTACACTTAGGATAGTCTCTCTTTCCTTCTGCCCTCTGAGATGTGTGGAGCACATGCCTCTTCTGCAGTGGAGAGTTTGGATTTTATCACCGAAGTGGTTTTTCTGTTGTTAGGATTCTTCAGCTGGCAGCATATCATTATTTTTGTCAGAGGCTCACTTGATGTTTAAGCTTCATTATTATATCCATGACCTTTTCTCATCTCTTGTATAAATAGAGGCTGTTCCCTCAGCATCTTTGTTAGAAATTAAAAAAAGAAAATTTAAAAAAAGGCCAGAGATCTAAATTTCAGTTTCAGTTAATTTTGGTAATCAAAATGGTTAAGATTTTTTTCTTGTGTGTGAAATGCAGGTATGTGACAGGACACATCTGGGCCTGTCCCCCAAGCGAAGGAGATGACTATATTTTTCATTGCCATCCACCTGATCAGAAAATACCCAAACCCAAACGCCTGCAAGAATGGTATAAGAAGATGCTGGACAAGGCATTTGCTGAGAGAATCATTCATGACTACAAGGTTTGCTACCATTTACTTCCTGGATTAATTTTTATGGGCTTTTCATTGAAAGGTAGCTCATATTGTTTCATAAAGTGTGAAACTGTGGTAGTGTTGCACGAGGGGTTTTATTCTCAGCTAGTGTCTTCATTTTCTGGAGGTTCTGCCTTTAAGGCTGAAAATTCCTTAAGTTTGATTTCTGTATTACGTGAAGTGTGCAGGAGCCTGCCTTCACATACTTGTCTTTTACTGCAGTCTTCTAGGCAAGGAAGTATGTCGCTTGTTAAGGTTTATGGAAGTAGAATTGGTTCTGGAGGATCAGGTGAAATACTGGACCTCACTAGTGTAAAATTTTTAAAAAATGCTTATAGAACAGCTTCTTCACTTTAAAAGCGGTGATTTTCGTAATTGGAGAATATCACGCATGTACCCAAGGGAATAAGTTCAAGATGGCAAAGGTAGCATTTGCCACTTCTTACATGGTAAAATTTACAAGAATTTCTTAATGGTAGTGAAAGTGCTGGGAAAAAAAGTGTTTTGATTGCAAGTGACAGTCACTAAACATGTGGAACAGAACAGCGTATAGTAAGCCTTGTCATCTGATCTGGTGTAGCAAAGAGCTAGGAAATCTGTATCTCTCCTAATAAGGTGGTCTTGAAATGAATCCAAAGAAGAAAATCGGTTGGTCTGGTATGTGGTTTTTAAATGCAATGCACTTTGAAAAAAAAAAAAAAATAGAAACAAACCACCTCTAGAACAACTGTGTAAAATCCCTGCTCCTGTTCAGAATCCCTGTTCCTCTCAGAGGTCCCCAGTCTTTCTGGGGGTAAAAATGCAGGAAAAGCTAAGTGGTGTAGGCTTCGTTTTTAGTCGGTGTAGTTACCAGGGAGGGGCTTGTTATGTTTTTTCCAGGATTATCTTAGCCTCTCCCATCGTGTCAGGAGCGTGAACCGATTGCATGATGGAGGCTCAGGAGACTCTCAGCACCTGGCTTTCTAAGATGAGGCAGGGAGTGGGCTGTTACCAGTTTTTGAGCTGCACCTAGGAAAGGAGCCCTGCCGGGAGTGGGCCGTGGGCTGTCAGTGTGGCACAGCTGTTCCGTGTAGCCCTGGGTCTTGTCTCTGATTCTCCTCTCTGTCCTGAGTGGTCCTTTTATTTTTCTGTTGGTCTTGTGTGACACGCTTAACAGGACATCTTCAAACAAGCGACTGAGGACAGGCTGACAAGTGCCAAGGAGCTGCCTTACTTTGAAGGTGATTTCTGGCCCAATGTGCTGGAAGAAAGCATTAAGGAGTTAGAGCAGGAGGAGGAGGAAAGGAAAAAAGAAGAAAGCACTGCAGCTAGTGAAACGACAGAGGTGAGTTACCTTCACATGCTGTATTTGCTTCTGGTTTACAAAGGTGACAATTAACGCTTGAATAAATTAGAGAGTTCACATCCGGTAAACTAGAAAAGAAGGTCATTTACATCAGATGATATCATTGTTCCCTTTAACTGTATTTCTGGTCTTCTTGGATAACAAATAGCCTAATTTTTTTAACAGAATGAGAAGCGAGTTATGTGAGTTCAGCATCTCTGTTCTGAGAGAAATGTGTTAAGCTACTTTTGGATTGCATCACGACTGCTACATTTGCTCGCAGTCATTTGGCTGAGCTTCTGGTTCACACCTTTGCAAATCACCTTCAGTATCTGTGTTTTGAAAGATGCTGTATTTTTCAAAGCTGAATTAAATTTTGCTGTTATTTAAGCAAAAGTACTCGTCATTTTCAACAGTAGGGGGCTGAAATTTGAGAGTATTTTTTGCAGACTGCATTGGTGTGAAACGTTCCTGATCCTGCTATGCCTTCACTAGCATTCTTTCTTTGTATATGGAAAAAAAAATTACTTTCTGAAGGTTCTGGCCAGAACTTCATCATTAATTTTATTTCTGGCTTGATTGTATCTCTATCCAAATAGTCTTAGCACTTTTATACTTTCCCTTTTTCTTGTGATTTGCAAAAGGTGTTTTGAAAATAAGTATAGTAAGAAAATCTGAAGTCTAATAGATTCAGATGAAACAAAGAATTTTAACTGGGGTGGGACTGTGTTCAGCTTAGGTGCCATGACAGTTTGCATAGGGGATGTATTACTTGGGACTGATACAGAGTGATAGATCTTAATCCGTTGATTTCATTATGTGAGAAAACTCCTTCTATTAAACCTTAGCAGCTCCTTCAAAGATAATAGTTTGTTGCTGCATTTTTTAATGGAACCATAAAGTTAATATTTTCACCTTGTTCCTTCTGAATGTAATTTTTAATATTGACATATTTCAACAAATATGGCAGTATAAATGTAACTGAAAGACAAGGCTTGGAATTTAAGTTGCAGTCCTCTTTTCCTACCAGTATCACTTTCAGTAAATCATAGCATGCCATTCTGGTGAAAACTCCATGTAAACCTCTACATCTAAAGGGGGGGGAAGTTGTTTTAAAGAGCCCAGAACAGCTAACTGGGAAACTCAGCCAGGTTGTCTGCCTAAAGTGAAAAGATGCAGCCTTGGCTGTTAACATCCCTGCATTCCCACTTAATGCCACTGATGCTGCTTGGGGGAGCAGGGGAACAAAATCTGTATCCAACTTGCTGAATGTGTCATCCAAGATCACAACAAAAAATGTAACAGTGTGGTCTTTGCCACTTGGCTCAGAAAAAGGCGTGAAATTAAAAACATGAGAACTTCTCCACTGCAGTCACCTAAAGTTGTGTCGCTTTACAGAGGAAACTGTGCCCAGCAATGAGGATCTCCACGTGCAGAAGCACTTGATGAGGCTTTGCAATTTGCCTTGTGTTGAGATGGTACAGAACGTGTCTATCTCGTCTGAAATTCTTAGTCCTAAACTTTGTATATGCAGAGAGGGCTTCTTAAAAGTCAGCATGCACTGTGAGTCGGTTAGAAGAGAGTCTAAAGAGGTGGTAAATATTCAGAAGTTCTTGAAAAAGGTTCAGAAGGGACCAGGCTCACTGAGCAACCGTGCCATCGGCATCTCTGGCAAACCTGGGCAAATCTCTTAAACGGTATCAAAATAAAGTAGTACAAAACCAATCTTTACAACTTCTTAAAACATTTTGGAATAGCTTTCTACAACTGACCAAATATAAATTTGTTAAAGGTGGAGTAGAAAGAAAACTTAAAATTATACTGTCAGCTAAGTTTCAACCTATTCTTTTAGTGTTTAAATTTTAAAATCTATGTTGATGATCTAGAATGCATAGGCAAAGGAGAACATGCCCTGATTCCATTGGAGGCTGAAAATTTGAAGGAAAGAAGTCAAGATGGGAACATACAACAACTCATTTCTGAATACCTTCACTTAGAGCTCTGTCTGGTTTCCCATAAAATAGTATAATTTTAATTCCCAAACAGGTCTGGTCAAAAAGTCAGTAAAATTAGTTACAGAAAAACCAAGATGGGACAAAGAATTTCTATCTAAGCCTAATTAATGGAATGGAGGAATGGCAGCAGTGTGTGTGTGTGTATATATGTATAATTGCTTTCTTGAGTTGGAATATTTCTTTGAATAAATACACTTGTGGATAAATAGTGTGTTTGCTTGTACATAGGATTCATTAAACTATTGCGTGTCTGTGTGTGTGTGTGTGTGTGTGTGTGTGTGTGTATATGAGAATATTCCACTAGCTTATTTTTAATACGATAACCAACAGTTAAATGACTTTTCCTGAGAGGCGAGATCCATGCTGAGGGCTTGGGTTTTTATTTTTCAAGGACATGAGAAGCCTAAAAGTTATTTCTGTTTTCACAGGTCATGTAAATAGCATCATCTGCTATTTTTTACTTTCTTTCCTTACACCTAGTGTTCAGTATATGGTCACTGTGGTCTATGTTAATTTAACTTAGGCACATGTAAAGGTTTTGGGGATTCTTTTGGAGTTGCATATGCAGCAGTAAGTCTTCAGGATGGAGAATAATGTATTTTGTTAGTTTCAGATCCTTCATGTTCTTATTTGTGTACTGACCCTAAATTTGTTCAACAAAAACAAACATCCACAAACATTCAGTCAAAGCTCAAGCAAGTACATGATACTGCAAATGCACAGCAAAGCAAAATACCGGACTTGTGGAAATTTTTGAAGTCCCATTTTGTTTGTAACTCATTTTATCATCAAATATCTGTAAGATCTTGTAAAGAAAGCAGTGGAAGCTGAAGTATAGTGTTTGAGAAGGAAAAAAATAAGTGTAAGATAAGAATTATTTAGTGTATATGCATATTTTAAAAATCTGCTTCTAAAGTGTTTGAATTTGTTTGCATGCCAGTTTGGCTTTTGATTTTTTTTCCTGGAAGATAAGGATAAGTTTAACATAGCATTGGCTGATTTGAAGGCACTGGAACAAAGTTCTGTTATTGACAGCAGAAGTTTTTCACTTTCAGCTACAGTGAACAGGAGAGAGCTCTATAAAGGGTAACATTTTCCCTGTGCGTTTATTGCAGGGAAGCCAGGGCGACAGTAAAAATGCCAAGAAAAAGAACAACAAAAAAACCAACAAGAATAAGAGCAGCATCAGCAGAGCTAACAAGAAGAAACCCAGCATGCCAAACGTGTCCAATGATCTGTCTCAGAAGCTGTACGCCACTATGGAGAAGCATAAAGAGGTACTGTCAAAATACGCTGCATAAAGAGAAGATTTTGTTCCTGTAAATCCAGGCATGATCATAGTCAGAACGGAAAAATCAGGAGTAAAGCTTGTGATTGCGCTAGAACTTTTTCTGTTGTGCAACAACATATTGGCAGAGATTAGCTTAAAGTCAGTTAATTGGATAACATTTGTAGCGCACCAATTACCGCAACAGAACATGAGTGTTTTCCTGTAAGATTATCTAACCTCATTGATTATTTTTCCCCCATTTTTCTGCAGGTCTTTTTTGTGATTCATTTACATGCTGGGCCTGTAATTAACACTCTGCCTCCCATCGTGGACCCTGATCCATTACTTAGCTGTGATTTGATGGACGGGCGAGATGCCTTCCTCACTTTAGCCAGAGATAAGCACTGGGAGTTCTCCTCACTACGCCGATCCAAGTGGTCCACGCTCTGCATGCTGGTAGAACTACACACTCAAGGGCAGGATCGCTTTGTCTATACGTGCAATGAGTGCAAACATCATGTGGAAACAAGGTGGCACTGCACTGTTTGTGAGGTAGGTGTATATCACCAGAGTCTTCTGCTCTTTCTTGCCTTACAGCCAAGCCTGGTATTGCTTTTTTTATATTGCCCAAAATTCCTTGAAATTAAGCCTGTGGTTGGGTGTGACTGCATGAGACCAGTCTGAATCTGCAGGCCACTAGCTCATATACATTAAATGGACATCCACAAGAGAAGTTAGTTACCTTTCTGCAAGGTAGCTTTCATTCTGCTTTGTACATGGTACTTCTTGTAAGGAGTGTAGCCAGGCGTGTGTCTAGGCTGCTACCACAGCTCTTCATCATTGTCTCTTCAGCTCAGCATTACAGGTTGCCTTCAGATCAGCCCAAATAATTGCTTCCTAACCTGGCTCAGTGCTTTGAATGACTGGTCCTTTAACAACATAGATCACTTCCACTGAGCTGTGTTAGAGAGCAATTACACATGAAGTTACACAGCTGGACTTGAGAAGAAGGTGGCCTCTACAGGGCTTGTGATGACTTCTGGCTGTAAAAAAAAAAGTTAATAAATGCAGCCTAGTTTTTACAGTGCAAGTTATTGCCAGGTCTGTGGTAGAAGAGTCTTAATTAATCCCTCCGAGGAAGTCACTGAACAGGACTTCTTGAGGCAAGACTGGAGGAAGTTATCGTACACACTAGGGGAATTAAGTGGTGGAAAGAGGTATGGCCTTTAGGTTTCTTCTGGGTACTTCTGTATAAGGGAGTGCCCTTTCTCCAGCAAAAAGGGACAATGCAGTGAACATGTGGGTGTTTGAGCAGGTTTTCAGATCAGTGTCTGTCTTAGCAAGAAACTTGCACTCAATTTGAGGGTCATTTTGGAGATTAAAAAATATGTATTTCAGAGTAGTAATTATTAGTCAGTAGTAACGCTAAGAATAGCTAAATGGAGAACCAAACCCTGTTCTTTAAGCACTCACCGTAGGTTTGTCTTACTAGTTAAAGGTTTTGGCTCTCCTTGTATAGGTACCCCAGTAGACCTCACAGAAAACTAAACAGTTCTTGTCATCAAAAAGGTGAAAAAAAAACCCCAAAGAAACAAACAAAAACCACAAACAAAAAACCACACACACAAAAACCACCAAAACAAAAACAAACAAAAGAACCCCACCAACCCAAACCTGCAAGACATTTTTATGCAATAAAATGAAGACACAATTACAGCCCCTATGACTTGTGATTGCAGGCTTGCTTTGCTGATGTGGCTTCTGCCCTCAACTGCCCAGCACTTCCTGCCCCAAAAGCCCCCTCCCACTGCTGCAGTGACTCTGCAGCTGCTTCTCTCCTACATGGAATTGGGCAGTTGTTCACAGCACCTGGCTGTTGTCCTGCTCTTGTTTTGCTGTGCATTTGTACCCACCAGGTACAAGTTTTTTTACAGTTTTTCCACACCAGGCTTGTGGTGCTCACCTAGCACCGCTACTGCTCTCCTGCTCTTTTGCTGGTGTAGTCAGTGCTCTGAACTGAACTCTGGGGTTTTTTTGCTTTCAGGACTACGACCTCTGCATTAACTGCTACAACACTAAGAGCCATGACCACAAGATGGTTAAGTGGGGCCTGGGTCTGGATGATGAGAGCAACAGCCAAGGAGAGCAGCAGTCAAAGAGCCCCCAAGAGTCACGACGACTGAGCATCCAGCGCTGCATTCAGTCCCTTGTCCATGCCTGTCAGTGCCGCAATGCAAACTGCTCATTGCCATCCTGCCAGAAGATGAAACGGGTTGTCCAGCACACCAAGGGCTGCAAGCGCAAGACCAACGGTGGCTGTCCAGTGTGCAAACAGCTCATAGCTCTCTGCTGCTACCATGCCAAACACTGCCAAGAGAACAAATGCCCTGTGCCATTCTGTCTCAATATCAAACACAAGCTTCGACAGCAGCAGATCCAGCATCGCCTGCAGCAGGCTCAGCTCATGCGCAGAAGGATGGCTACCATGAACACCCGAAACGTGCCTCAGCAAAGTTTGCCTTCTCCTACCTCAGCAACGCCTGGTACCCCTACACAGCAGCCAAGTACACCGCAAACGCCGCAGCCTCCTCCCCAGCCCCAGCCGTCCCCTGTAAGTATGTCACCAGCTGGCTTTCCCAGTGTGTCGAGAACTCAGCCCCCTACTACTGTTTCAACAGGAAAACCCGCAAACCCGGTTTCCGCACCTCCACCTCCGGCTCAGCCTCCGCCAGCTGCGGTGGAAGCGGCTCGGCAGATTGAGAGAGAAGCTGCCCAGCAGCAGCAGCAGCTCTACAGGGTCAACAACATTAACAATGGTTTGCCTCCTGGTCGCCCAGGACTAGTAAACCCGACGGTGGGTTCAGTGAACCAGATGCAGCAAGTCAGCATGAATGTACCCCGGCCCAACCCTGTCAGCGGTCCAGTGATGCCCAACATGCAGCCTGGACAGTGGCAGTCACCTCCAATGCCGCAGCAGCAGCCAATGCAGCCAGGAATGGCGAGGCCGGTTATGCCAATGGCGACGCCGCAAGCAGTGGCTGGGCCACGGATGCCGGGTGTGCAGCAGCCACCACGGAGCATCCCCCCGAATGCACTTCAGGACTTACTGAGGACCTTGAAATCACCAAGTTCTCCGCAACAGCAACAGCAGGTTCTTAACATCCTTAAATCCAACCCTCAGCTT